AGTAGTAGCAGTTGTAGTTGTAGTTGTAGTTGTAGTTGTAGTTGTAGTTGTAGTTGTAGTTGTAGTAGTAGTAGTAGTAGTAGTCGTCGTCGTCGTCGTCGTCGTAGCAGCAGTAGTAGCAGTAGCATTATTATTACTATTATTATTATTGTTATTATTAGTAGTAGTAGTAGTAGAAGTAGTAGTAGTAGTAGTAGTAGTAGTAGCAGCAGTAGTAGTAGCAGCAGCAGCCGTAGTAGAAGCAGTTGAAGTCGGAGTAAGAATAGTAGTGGGGGTCGTTGGCGTAGAGAGGAGGAGGAGGAGATGTCTTTATCGTAGTCACATTTTCCTTGTTTTGCCATGAGCTGCTAGATCATTATGCCAGTGATGGTGATGATGATGACGACGTCGACACCGTTGCTGACCATCATGGTGACTGCTTCGTGCTATTGTCGTTCTAGGACTATGAATTATATGGCCTGCTGACAACTTTCCCTGACCTCCTTGCACTCGATGTTCGGGCTCGCGCGCCGAAAGGCTGTGCTACTGCTTCCTCGGACTAAAGCTACCATCAGACCGTGCCCTCGTGGCGACGGTCGTCTAAGGCGGGGTGCTTCTGAAACCCCGCTGAGCTTTTAGTCTGGATTAACGGCTTCAGGGAGAACAATGCTCCCGCTGCTGTGCCTGTGTCCAGCGGCGGTTTCAGACCCATGCTCGAACTACTCCCTCCTGCACTTTGTGCGAAGGGTCCGAGTGGCAGCAACACTAAGAAGAAAGAATTAAAGTATTTACAGCACTAACTGCCGTCCTTGAGGAAGGCGGGCAATGCAGTAACGTGCATCGAAGGAATGAGTTGTATTGATGCATACATGCGTGGCATACACGCCGGCTGGTTCATAGGCCAGGTACGCACAGCAATGCAGCCATGAAGCACCTAGTGCCAAACCATCAACGCAAACACTAAGGCCAGGCTGCAAGTTGCAAGCTTTCTCGGCACCCGCTTACACTCACAATTCAGCCTTGAAGTACTGTAACAGTCAGAACCACGAACCGTACAGTGCTAAACGCTGGCATCTGCCCCGCTGGCACTCAGGGAGGCCGTACGGCGACGACCGAAGGTCTCAGATTCCATGGCTGAGTTCGGGGAAAGATCTCTTGGCGCCTGCCGTCAATGAACGATTTCACTTTGGAGTCTACGGGACGGCCGACCTTAAGTCAGGAGGGGTTGCGGCACCTGTGGGGCTTAGGTTGCATACATACATGAGCGTATGCATCTATGTACATATATATATATATATGTGCTACCCCAAATGTGCCCACGGTTTGGATGTTTGAAGGAGGAGTAACCCGGAGCCCGGATTCAAACGAGCGAGCAACGTGGGGATTCGTTAGATTAGTGCTGAGGCTCGCGCGTCGTATGACACAACGAAGTTGGTAGGCTTCGGCAATGCTGGACACCCGGTGTCGTTTCCAGCATGACAAGCTATCGTACAACCGGTCGTTGCATTTTATACGAGAAATTCACACACAGTGGATGCCAAATTCATCGTAATGAATACAAAGGGCTGCTTTACATAGCTTTTCTGCACGAGTGACAACAAGACAACATTCATGCGTGCGTGACTTGGGTTCTCAGTAGTTTGTTTGCACCAGCCTTGTACAAGACAAGCGCAATGTCGCAATACTAGCTGCAGTCACAGGAGTACTAACAAGACCAGTAACAACAATAGCCGTCATCGCCACTGGCATCATCATCTTTGACACAAACGAATCGAATCGGTATTTATGTTGCAACTGAAGCAGCAAGCAACAAGGGCGGCGAGGTGTTTGGGTGTTGAAGGACACTTCGGCTTGGGCGGTCAACTCTGTACTAATATCGAACGGATGTTTGTTTGTCCCAATTCACATGCCAGCGAATCAAAGAATCGTATCACAGGTTAGTATTTATCCAACATGTATGGAAGCCAGTGTTGGATGACCAGTTGATGTACAATGAGGGAAATGTCAGTATGTCTAACGCTAAGCTAAACGAATATGTGAGACTGCTATTTCGTGTGTAGCATTTGTTTAATGCTTCATGTTGACATAATGTTTGACTAATCTTTAACTCGTATAGTATAGGCTTAAGACTTGGACGCTACCACCCAAATTACACAGTATACTTTGAATCAGAATCAAAATGTACGGCAACTACTGTTTAGAGCATGTTGAATATGTCTAGTAGACTTCGGTCATATATTATAGTTATGTAGCTGATACTTACTCTGTGCTTCGTCATTACTAAGCTCAATGTAACTCATATTCTCCTTCTGCATAGTTCAATATTGAAGCAAGCTCATACACGTGCTGTTGACGTTTTGTACAGTATGTGTCATGAGAGGAGTCCGGCGCATCTTCGCATCCGTTATTTTCTCCTTCTCAATGAAACTTTGCTTTCTATTGCCCGTATTTGCAATGGATATCACAGCGGTTCGATATCACCATTTTCTGAAGCAAACCCTTCGGAAATCTGGTGCTGTCTTAAGGTCCGGGAAGACACAGCGGTTCCGATAGCAGCACATTCCTGAAACGACACCCTTCGAAAAATTTGGCACTATCGAATCACCCTTGTTTGTTGTCCGAATTTGCAACGGATAACACAGCGGGTCGACAGCACCATTTTTCAGAAGGAAACAGGTGAGGCGACAGCACATGCAGCTCCCGGACTTGGCATTCATTGGACAACTTGCTCTAAGTACATACCAAACCTACTGAATTCAATAGGGCCTATTGATTCAGTCGGGCTGTCAGATTGAGGATTCAAGATGCCTCAGAAAACTTTCTCAGGGCATCTTCAATCTTCAATCCGATAGCCCTATTGCATTCAATAACTCAATAGGGTTCACAGACTGTGCGAAGAGGATTCCAAAGCCAATCGACTATCAACTCTCGTATGTAGTAATTGCTTTACTGCACACGAGTTCAGACTATACACATACACACATACGGAGTATTCTGGCATAACAGACAGGATCTACACCAAAACTGGTGGATAACTCGGGGGGTACCATACATACTTGATTTAATGTATACATACATGTTCGTACACACGCATATACATAAGTACATGTATAGATAAAGAGGGAGGGAGAGACAGAGACAGAGAGAGAGAGAGAGGGCGAGAGAGATAGGATCTTCCACAACCCGGGTCTGTAGCGCAGCGGTTTCTGTCCGTGCACATGCCTGGAAAAAGTAAAACTAATCACACACGCAGGTACTCATTCTTCTTGTACATGTATATATATATATGTATATATATATGTACATGTATATGTATATGTATATGTATATATATATATATTTATTTATTTATATAGATATATACATAGATGTGTATATGCATGTGTACTTATATTCACAAGTCTCGCCGGGAATGGACGCGATAGATCGATTTGCGCCGACTCGACAATACCCCACTGTAGCCGCCCAAATCCCAACACTCTAGGCACTTTGCCCAGAAGTCGAACACGCAAAAACTTCAGTGCCACCTCTACACTAAAGATGCGCTCAGCTTCTGAATGGATACTGGTGTCTTGGTCCAGCTAAAATTGTCAATGTCGATCCCTTTGGTAATTGTCTACTTGCAATGTTCGTGCCGATGCTATGAAAATAGTGCTTTCGTGTCTGCCCAGTGCAGTGCTCGTGCCGATATCCCGGGTGTTGATGCTTGGTGCAATGCTCCGATATCGATTTCTCCCGGAACTGGAAACAAAAACAAGCCTCATGCCGGAACCCGGATGGAGCCGAAACCCAGAGGATGAACAGTAGCAACCACAAAGCAAACTTAGAACTCCATGAGATGCTTTCATAGTCAATCGACATCAGAAGCTGCTGCTGCTGCTGCTGGTACTCCTACCACATTACAACTACCTACTACTACCACTAGGACCACTGCCACCACTACTGCGGCTCCTACTCCTATTAAGACTGCCCAGCCTCCTGACCAGTCTGTCTCTTTAGACAAGCACATGTGCTGAGGCTCACCTCGGGCTCTCACGTCAGCTTCCGCTTGTGTCACAAATCTGGAATCTTGCTAAAACTTGTGGCTTCGCTTCCGTGGCAACTGCACAGGGCCTCGGAATTCCGGAGGTCGTGTAGCTTTCATGGCGGCTTGGAAAGTGGCTAAGTAGATCTCTGTGCACACTGCTTGCAAGATCGGCAGCTACTGGCACCAGCAGAAGTGTCGCAAGTCCAGATGGCCCGTGCGACACCCACGCCGTATGGAGTGCCCGCACGTGGTGTCTGTGCACTGCCGCATCCAAAACACAAAGGATCCTCACAGAACTGAACCCAAACATGTCTGCACAGGAGCTTGGATCTGATGCGTGGCAAGAGGCGGACACGGTGAGCAGCAACCAAAACAAGGTAACACCTGGGCTCGGTTCGCGGTGCCAGCACAGCATATCTCGACCCCTGGCTCTAAGTCCACACAGCCCTCCACGGTTTCCGTTCAGCCCCACGAGAACTCCACTTCTTCGCGACAGCAGCAGGGTATCACAAGAGCATCTAGCACAGCCCTGCTGCATGCATTTTCCTGCACCGAAACCTCTTACCTGCCGGGGGTTGGAGGACGCCGGAGGACTGTCGGGCCATAGAAGACTCCGAAAAACTTGTAAGACCCCGTGGAGGGGGTCAGGACAGAGTCTTCAGTCCCAAATATCCCCAACAGAAAGAAGCCCGGACCCCCTTAATTACGCAAAAGAAGCCTCAACAAAAACAAAATCCATCTCCCTTTCCCTTTGATCCTCCCTCCGCCTGGCTCGCCAGGCTCCGCCCCCTTTTTCGCCAAGGGGCCGAGGGCCCAGAAACCAAGGGCGGAGCTCTCGAGGATCCCGAGGCCCATCCTGAGACCAGAAAAGGCCAGCGCGCCCCTCTCTCTCCCTCGAAACAGTCTTAATGTCTTATCATATAGTCTCAATGTCTTATAAACTCATAGTATCAATGTCTCATACACCTGTTCATGTTAGTAATATGATTAGTAGTTATAGCAATTAGTCTTACTATGGCTTCTTACTAGTGTTATCAGCGCAGAGCATCCGCGTCCCTGTGCCTAAGCCAGGCTTTCGGGCCATGCGACAGCGAGGAGAGGAGGAGCAAGGCGATGACGCATCGCAGCAGAAGCGTCGTGTTGAAGCCTAGACATCAACTTTGGGTCTCTGGCTGCACACGCATGTGAAGGCAGGTCACACGTACGAGAACCATTTTCGAATGTCTATCCTAGCTTGCACGGTAGCTTGCTTCGGCTTGCCTGTCTACGTGTGGGTGACCACTTCACTTTGAAGAGCTTGTGGAACGGAGTTGTTTACTTCGGATAAGGAGCTCCGGACTCTGTCGGGTTCTGCTGCGATGGACCCTGATGAGCAACTTCTATTCGATCTGCTCGGCCTAAATCCCGGCCCACACACGGGCCGGCCAGGCCAAGGCGCGCTTCCGAACCTCCCAGCCGCAACCCAGCGCCACCTTGGGAGCGCCAGAGAGGCGCTGAGGGCATCCAGGCATTCGTCACGGAGTCATGGAACGGCGAGTTTAAGCGTGACTACCCGGCGGAAGTGAGACGAGGGAATCGCTCTGACCGCTTGCTGACATCTCTGCCAGTTGGGACTCATAATTTTGAGAGGGGCAACCAGCGAGGGCAGCGGAATCACGAGGGCAAGGTGCCAGTGGGCAGCCAACTCCTCATCTGAGATTTTGAGCTATTGGATGCTTCGATGTGCTGGCCGCTGAGCCGGATGGACCTATCGCAGTGGTTTTGCATAGGTACGCTGAATAGAAGGCTTGGATTTGTCCTTGGGAATGCGCACGCTCCAACATGACTGAAGTGCTCCTTTCGGGACCAAGACATACTCTCGCACTCTGCTGTGGCGCTTTCCTGACTTCATCTGCCACAAAATCTTCGTAATCCACTATACTTCGTCGCTAGCTTGGACCTGAGGCCCGGATCTCAACAAGGGGCCGCTGCAAGATGCGTTGCTCAGCCCGAAATTAAAGAACTGTCCCTCCCTGTGGTCCTCACGAACCTCCGGTGAGGTGAGGGAAGACAATCCTTGCAGTGCTTGCTTTGGGCCCGGACTTGGCTTGGATGGTAGACTGCACAGAGGCTGGAGCGATCTAAACATGAACATACGGTTTGGTGAAGGTCGCGGTCTAAGCTTTGCAAAATCTTGAAGTGGCCCAAAATCGCGTGGCTTCCCCATAGACAAAGTCGCCACGCTGAAGCTGAAGGTGGCAGATGCCAAAAGAAGGAACATGAACGACTGTAAAGTGTCGCATCACTGTGGTCAGCATGAAAAACGCTTGCGTCAGCGTGTAGCAGGTGTTGGCCGTCATCTTCTTATTGGACAACGCCTGCGCAAAGTGCACCTCAGCAAATCTAAGTACTCTGGGGAAGGCTGCAAGCGTTCTCCATCCCATGAGATGTCAAAGACTCTGGGCTGCCGCGCCTTTGGAAGAGTGGCTGCCGCTGCACACATGATGCACGCCCAAACTAGCCGCACTAGCCCTGAACAAACCTCCTCCCCGCCGGTCCCATCTCCGGTCACCCTGTCATTTAATATAGAGGCCTCAACAATTAGAGTCGGGTTTTGGGGCCCATGATACTATAGTTACTATAGTCAATCTGAAGGCAAGGGGCCATCATCAGCGGACCTGGAAGACCCACGAGGCCATTCAGAAAGCCGCAGGAGAAGCCCACGAGGATGAACCTCTCCCGCGGCTCTTGGGGCAAGAACCACTGAATTTGGGTTTGCGCAGAGGTGCAGTGGCTCGTGGGACGGATTTAGTCTTCGGCTGCGATCTTCGCATTGACTAAACTGAAATGGGAGTTGCAGGTTGTGGATCGTTGAGTCGGACTCTGAACTGGAGCTTCAATGATGCATCGTGCTCCAAGGGCACTATTGCCAAGGGACTGCTCGACAGGATTAATGTCGGAATCTGATTCCGCTCGCCTGGATGAGCAGTCTAGCGCATCAAGTTGTGGCTGCTTTTGACTTGGGGGGATGGGGGCAAAGATGCTGAACCTCTCGTGTGTAAACCTTCTTAACACCATGAAAGAGAAGTGGCTGTATTCCCATCTTTTTGCAGAGTTCGGTGTCGACGTCCTCGTCGAGCACCTTGGGTTGCAAGAGGCGCTGCCTTTGTCTCCAGAGCTGAGAAGCTAAAGACAGGCCCTGGCCTCGGCTGCTGCTTGGCCGGAAGTAGTTTTTCTACAGAGTCCTACATGACCCTAAACCCTAAACCCTTCAAGTGCAGTATGCCGTACAGAGTCCTACATGTCTGGAACGTTCCAAGCGTGCCTCCGTGATGTGCAATGCCTCGTTTGCGCGTCGGGCTTTCGCATAGGCCCGGAACTCCTTCAGGCAGCACTGGGCTTGTCGCTGGACTTGTGAATGGACTAGCGGGGTGTAGCTATTGCAGAGTGCTCAGCACACTCCGGTTATCATGGGAGCTGCAGCTGAACCTGCTTGTCTAGATTTGCGTGTGCTTCTGGTGTGTCTGCGGTCGTGTCATTAGAGAAGGAACAAGTTACAGTCTCGTTGCTTTCCTGATAGTGACCGCCTTCTGCAACAGCATCCCTCTGACACTGCAGTCGCCATCAGCAGACTAGCTATCAGAGAGCGATAAACAAGCGAGACCCAGCTCCATGGTGATCTTGAAGAGCGCGACCAGAGCGAATGTCAAATTCAGGAAAGTCTTCACCATCTCCAGGATGGATTTGTTCTCGCCAGTCTGCCTGCCACGACTTACTCCGGGCACTGCAGCTACGTAGATTAGATTCTATCTGGCCAGAAGCGCGAGATATCTGGGCTACAAGCAGAGTCTTCACTGCGTGACAGTCGGCACACGTCGTGACTAACTCCAGGGACGTTCGCATGAAGAGATCATGCAATCCTCAAGCCGCTCCACCCAGAAAGTCTTCGTTTGATTTTGTCGCAGTTATCAACTATCACCCGCACTTCCTCTTTGCACGTGACGAGGCACACCAAGATGTATAGCCCCAGAGCCGTGCCCGGCAACCCAGGCACGGACAAGAGCAGAAGGTTGCCTTGGCCAGCGCTGCAAAACCAAAGCAGAGTGGGCAGACCTCAGGGCCTCAGCGTAACATCGGGGCCTGAAACCTGAACAACAAGAGAAGGGAGTCGCGTTGAGGTTGACCTGCAGACTCTTGCACACCACTGGCAAAGGAGCGGCTGTCAACTGTGTCCGTCCAAGTCGGAGTCTTGGTCTGGAACAGAGGACTAGGATTCAGTGAACCGGGAAAGATAGCCCTCTTACAAGACATCTGCCGAAGCAAGCTGCGCCACAAGCTGTAGGCTCGTCTGGCTACGGCCAGAAAGAGCACGGTTGAGGTGCTGAACCTAGGTTTGGCTGTTGACGAAAACGAAAACCCGTGCTTGCAATGAGGGAAGCTGACCTCTTCCCGCCAGTTGCAACTGCACCCTGTGCACCGTCAGACATGCAATGACGTCTCGTGACAAGACACTCGAAGACGGTGCCAAGAACCACCATCAACACAGCACTCTCCAGGCCAGAAGCCAGATGCAGCTGATTCGCGAGGCTGTACCTTGTAAAGGCCGGCTGCAACAGCTGAAAGAGCTAAGAAACTCGAGGCTGTGAGCATTTACAGAAAGCTCGTGGAACCAAGCCGTGATTGTCCTGGCAAGGTGCACCAGGATGAAGAGAATGGAGCCGCCGAAACCTGGAGGGTCGACATGGGATTCTTCCAGGAGTGGCACCCAACTAGACGTCTGCTTGACTCGGGCGAGGTCTCTCTCAGACTGTGTCCTGGGAAGGACCCTCGGCCTGTGGCTGCTCGGCAGAACGCGCCCAAAATGCTGGCAACCACAATGACGGCAATGGCGGAGGCGTCCATGTTGCAGGCGGGTTGCAGGCAGGGGATGGGTCTACAGTCTACGGTGGCGCTTTTCCGATTCGGATGTGGGTATGGCTTCCGGTTCCAGGGTCTTGCCTAGTCCAGGGCTCTGGGACAAGTTGGGCTTTGGTGGCTGCGCGAAGCCATAAAAATGTATGATACATGATAATGTATGGCGACATGAGAGTCTGTGCAGAGCTAAGCTCTTGAAGTGCGAAGGCAGAGCCGTGCCGACTGGAAAAACTGTCCTGCGCCTGCTCTCGGCTTCTCTCACGAGCACCAAGGTGATGTGTGATGTCAGTTCTGCTCTCTAGCCAGCGTTGGCTGAGCAGCCTCCATATGGGTTCTTTGTTGTCGCTGAGTAAGAAGCTCTTGGCACCTATCCGGTCTGCTTGCCTAGCGACTGGCATGGCACGTCAAAGGGGTACCCAAGCCAGCAAAACTTCTGGGTTGTCGTGCCGAGGGTCAGAGAAGCTCAGGTAGAAGGAGGTGCGTTTAGGGTCCAGGCACGTTTAGGGTCCAGGCACCGAGGGGCTTCAGAGCGTGTGGGTTCCATATTTCGAACAGGGAGGGTGAACGGAAACCCCAAACTGCAACGCTCTTACAAACTGCCTTTCCGATTTGGGACACCGTTTATGCTGCTAGCACGAAGAATCACGATGAACTACTAGTGTCATTGCTAAGAATTTTGAGCGTTACCGCCACCTACCGGCCGTGGTCATCACTACCAAGTCCTTCCGCTACTCATGTTCCGTGCTTGTGACTGTGACTATGGTTATATCTACTACCGTACTGTCGCTTGTTGCTATAGAGATCACCGCGTCGTTGTTTGCCTAGCGAATCTTTTGCACGACAACCCAGACTGTTCTCTGCAGAAGCACGGTGTCACGTCTTGTTGGGTCATCGCGCACGGGACTACCATGCGTGATCAAAGGAAAGGGCCTGCAATCTCTCAGAAACCGTAACTCAACCGCACAACCGCTCCAATACTGCAACAACATCTCGATCGGCAGAGGCTCCTACTCTAACAAACGGTTGCAGCTACCTGCTTGGCGTCAGCAGAAACACAAACACACACACACACACAAAAAAAAAAAAAAAGTACACCCCTAGCTGTCGCTGCGGCTATTTCCGCTGAGTTCCAGACTTTAAGACGGGGGACTCTGCCAGGATTGCATCAACACGAACGCACAACCCCTCACCAGGCAGAGTTGTTCTTCGCACGGCAAACACCCAGCCTAATCGTCCGGATCGTTGGGCTCTTCAAGTCTGGCAAGCATCTGTAAAGGAAGGTACTTCGCTGTCGAGAGTAATTGACGACCTGTTCAGCTTCCACAGGAACACCCCCCATGGTGTAGGAGTCTGGCAAGTTCGCAGTCAGGGTCCGGTATAGTCTCGCAGAGCAACATCGGAAGCCTGTGTGACAAAGTTGAGAAACTAATGCTGCACCGACTGCAGCAACAACTGCAGCTGGGAATTCAGCTCCAAAAGGCATAGATGGAAAGTATCTTGCGATGGCAGCCCTTTGAGAACTTGCCAAACGTCGATGTCCGCGGGCTCAGCTGTTGGGCACCCAAAGGTCCCGACGATCGGCACACATGATGAGCAGCGCAAGAGCAGGCGTCAACCAAAGCCCTCTTCATGTGTCGGCAAAAATGGCTCTGTACCTTCACCCCAAATGCCAGCGCCCGCAGTCTAGGGCAGTGCTTCGGGCCTGTAACATACCCTGCTATATGCTCACGGACTCAATGAACTCGGGGCACCTCCACTCTCAACGCTTGAAACCACACTCACCACTACTAGTAACACCGGTGATACTACGAGTGCTACTGGGCTAGCGGTACTGGTGGTGCAGGTAATGCTAGTAGCACAAGTTCTAGTAGTCTTGGTCAGTAAGCAGTACTAGTAGTAGCAGTAGTAGCGGCAGCAGTAGCAGGAGTGGCAGGAGTAGCGGTAGCAGCAGCAGCAGCAGCAGCTGCAGCAGCAGCAGCAAGTAGTAGTAGTAGTAATAGTAGTAGTAGTAGTAGTAGTAGTAGCAGCAGCAGCAGCAGTAGCAGTAGCAGTAGCAGCAGCAGCAGCAGCAGCTACACCTACTGCTACTTCTAGTACCACTATGACTACCACTACTACACTACCACTACCACTACGAGAGTACCAGTAGTACTAGTAGTAGCAGTCTCAGCAATACTTGTAGTACCAGTCGTAGTAGTAGTAGTAGTAGTAGTAGCAGCAGCAGTAGTAGCAGCAGGAGTAGTAGTAGTAGTAGTAGTAGTAGTTGTTGTTGTTGTTGTACCGGTAGAAGCCGTCGTAGCAGTAGTCGTAGTCGTCGTCGTAGCAGTTGTAGCTGTTGTTGTTGTTGCTGTTGTTGTTGTCGTCATCGTCGTCGTCGCAGTAGTAGTAGCAGCAGGAATAGCATTAGCAGCAGCTGCTGTTGTCGCACACAGCTGTACGCAGACATGTTGGACACGACCCACGTCCTGCTCCCGCTTGTGCCCCTGCCGTGCAGCTCCCCAAGAGCCGACTTCGGCCGTGGGAGAGGCGCCGTGGAAAAGCCTTGGCCACGTCGGAGCCTGGGAAGCTGACTTCTTGCTCGAAGAGTTCTCAATAGGGGCTGTATCTATAGGACTCGTTTGAATCGGGTGTTACGCTACTGGTAGTTTGTCGTGGTGATTCAGGGCTAGAGGCGGGAATACGAAACAAGTATGCAATCTCTTTCTGGCAACTGTTTTTCATTACGGGCGCAGCGCCCTGCACTGTCTTCCTTAGGACGGGCCTTTGACAAGAAGCTGCTTCGGTATTCAGTGATTGGAGTGGTGATTGGTGTCTGGAGCACACGCTGCTGAAACTGGAACTACGCTGTTGAGCTAATGCCAAGCGCTGTGCATCCGTAGCAGCAACACAGTCATGCTTTACAAACAGGGAGACACATGTAGCGCAACATAATCCATACGGCATCATGATCGCGAACACAAAAGACCTCAGCACATCGCACAACTACCTCGCCTTCCGGATATTGAGGCCCCCGGTGACGAAACTCTTACAGGAGCAGTCTCACGGTGACCCATCGTTTAATCGGGAGGAACCAAAACCCGCAAGAAGAGGGACAGCCGCAAGACTCAGTCCCCGGCTCATCCGATATTTTTTTCATGCATCTGCTGTACGAAGACCTAAACCTTGCTCCCTACCGCGAGGCCAGACAGGGAAAAACCGCTTCGAACTCTCCCCGAGATCCTACAACAGGCCCTAAGTTGGAATAGGCACCCAGACAAGTGCAGTTCCCTCCCTTGCTGCGGTACTCTCGCTGTATCTCATGCGGCCGAATGTCGTGCTTGCGAGGCACGAACGCTTCATCCGCCTGTCATGAAGATCTCTGGAAATCGAGGCCTTTCGGCCGCATGATGTTGCAGCAGCTGCTTCTCCCACCGGGCGCCACCCTTCCTCCCCTCAGTCGCCAGAGCTCCGGGAAAAAGAGGGGAGGTGGGGCTTACAATCGATGGGGAGTCCCGTAGGAGAAGATAAACCCAATTAGCTCCAAATGGAAGACAGGCGAGGGCATCCCGTCCGCTTGGCACGGGATGTTCCTGCGCCAACAGGCGAGGAGCGGCTTCGGATCCCTTGCCAGGAGTTCCAACCAGCTTTGGCCGGATTCCAAGGGGCGCATGAGCGTATGTAGGCAAATGAACGTATGTAGGCAGGGACACGTACATGTCACTGTAAGTCTGCCTCTGAGCGTTAGCATGCCCACCCTTGACCCTAAGCAACACTGAATCCACAACATCATGCCATGCTCCCATGTTGGCTCCCCACCTCCCATTTTGCTTTATATGCGCCCATGAACTCAAGAACAGTTACCTCGGCTCACGTTGCTGACTTCTGAACAGGTGCTGCTGGCAAAGTGGGGAGGTGCATCTCATAGGCGCACATACAGTGGCAGGGTTCCCCAGCAAGCTGAGTCTGGATGATAAGGCCTACGAAGTCACCTCGGAGCACATGGTTCTACGAACAGGGCGGACGTCTCAAAACAACGGCAGGGCTGGAACCACCAGAAGGCATTAACCTCGATCTCACACTCCAGGACAGCAATCTTGCTAGAAGGTCAGGGCCTGACCCAGTGCAGGGGCGATCAGGTATAGGATTTGGACGAACCTCCCAGACTACAGACTAGCACAAATGGCCTGCTGCGACGACAAACCAGAATCGACGAAGGCTTTCCTCCTTTCTTCCCACTATCGCCTATCGTCAGCGCTCAAACAACTGGCAGCCTCCGATGCTCTGTCATGAGACCAAACAACGTCCATGAAGTGGGTCTAGTCAAGCACTTAGCAGGCCCTGCCCTCGCTCGAATTCTGACAGCGCGCCCGCATCGACTCCGAAACTGTCGGACATTGCACTGAGCCCGGCAACACACGGTGCCAAGTGGGGTAGGATGTCCGTTCTTTCAATTCTTTCTTCCGCATGTAACTGATTTGATAGAGTGTTGGTGAAGGGCTGTCAACGATGAACGTCCCTAGCCTATTTATCAATCGGCCTTCTCGCTCACGACCGCAGCCCTCGACTGAGATCTAAAGCTGTAGTACGGTCAGGCAGCGAACCTCCCTGCTGATAAACATGTATGTACTCGATCTACCTATCTATCTATCTATCTATCTAAATATCTAAATATCTATCCATCTCCATATATACATACGGAGATATATATATATACATGTGTGATGTCTGCGTTGGGCAAGGAAGGCTTAGAATTTATGGCTGAAAATGCAAGCAATGCAAGCATCAGGTCACAAAGGATGGCTCCGACCTAGAAGTTACTGACCGTGCAGTTCCCTTTGAGTCACGGATTCACGCATCAGCTCCTAGCTACGCGAGCTGTGTGCACACCCTCCCTGACTGAAGCTGGGTCAGCAACAGCTTTGCTTTAGACTATCAAGTAACGCTTGTCTTAGTTGACGCTTCGCACTGCTACGAGACAGGGAGAACACCTTCAACAATTTTCCTTTACT